TACCTCTCTCTCTCTCTCTCTCTCTCTCTCTCTCTCTCAATTTCAGTTAATGTAGTTGCCTTCTTTCTAGCTAAAATCTCAGTTGCTACCCCCTCTCTCGCTGAAGTTTCAGCTGCCATATTCTCTCTCTCTCTCCAAAGGTTTGAGCTACTATATTTGCCCCCTCTCCGTCTAAAGCTACAGCTCCTTTAGTCTCTGTGTCTTCATTCCATTCTCTTTAGCGTAATGCTCGGGGGATTAATTTTGCATATGTCAGCATGCTCTTTGTCTATAGGATTTCAGTGTGTCTGCCCCATTTGATGGATTTCTTTGTGTTTTTCTATAGGGTTTCAATTGGGCTGGACAAGAGCACTCGGGTTTCAGTTTGGGACGAGACTTTTCTCTGACGAAAATGCTGCTTCTAAAAGGTCTGTGTGTGTGTGAGAGAGAGCTTGTAAGTACAACGACATGAACCGAGTACTTAGGTTAGTGAAAAATTGCTAAAACCTAGAGCAATATTGAATGCTTCGTTTTTTTTCCAATTGTTTGTGTATATGTCTCAGAAGGATTGTTTGTTTGTTTATTCTATGCACGACTTTCTTCTTTTTGAAATTTGTTATGTTCTAGGAACGAACTAAAATGACAAAGGTAGAGAACTTAGGATTTTTTTTGAAAGGTATTTGTATACCTATTCTGAATATTTGAAGTGGTTGACCACCAATTGAAGAAAAAAAAGTTGGAGTTATTGATCGGAGAAAATGTATAATGAATTTCAAGAAGATTTAGTTTCTTACTATTGTTAAAGCTCTCTGGACACGTTCTATTGATATCCGCTAATCATATTTTGTTGAGGACTTTGTAGTACCCCATGAGTATATCCTGTTTTGGGATTTCAAGCTCACCAAGAACCACAACCTATTTTAACATGATTTTTTTGGCATGGGGGAGTGCCTTAAGCAGTTCCCTCTTAAACTGTGAACTAGGTGGTATGTTTTGTTTTTCGATTTTCTTCAACTTTTTTTCATTTTATAAAAGTCAATTTGAAAAAGTCTCGACATGTTGAGTCTTGAGTCCATTCAGCTCAGGAATTGGACAATTCCCTAGTTGAGCCCAAGTATGAAAACCTTGTTTTGAAGTTGCTTTTTATTTTGAGGAAAAAAATTAATATTTCACTGAAACCAAGTGTAAGTTTCCTATACTGTTTTGAATTGACTTTCAGGAACTCTCTTTAAGACATTATATTTTGAATATCTGGTTACTCTGCAACATTCCATAGGGGCATTCCTATGGTATTTAGATTGCTTTGAGCTTCTCTTGAGCACCTAGACTTTTCCCACTTCTCAGTTCTCAATGCTGGATGATTTCTTCAATGTTCTTTTTATATTCCGGACTTTTGAAATTCGAATACATTGTAATGAATATCAGCTTCTTGAGGTTTCCTTTTTTTGCTTAGCACTCAGTTACAATTTTGAAGCCACCCTGAATCCTCCAATTGTTTTGTTGAGTTATGAGAAGCCCAGCTTGATCAGAGTTCTGCTCCAATTTAGGACAGTTCTACGTTGTTCAGTCATCCCTCTTGCCTGTTGGTATATTTAAAAAGGTACGAGGGACTTTAGATAATAGATCACTAGATGAGCTTACAACATTCATTGGTGCATCAACTTTGAATACCCCAAATAAGAAATTCCTTAAAATACCCCTAATTACCTGAAGATTATTATTATTTTTTTTAAAAAAATTAGTTTTTACATTAAAGCACTTGTATCTCTAATTCCAACTATTAAGCAAACCTCTAAAAAACTTAAGTGAACAATCTGTGCAAATCCATTGAGATCTTATAGAAGATATTTATATATTAGTTTATTACATTAACTTTTTTATTCCTTTGAACTGGGAATCCTCCGGTATTCTTACCTGGCCTGTGTCTTCTTGTTTGATCTCCAAGCAAATGCTATGGATACGCAAATGAGTCACCAATATGGTTTAAAACTATTCAATTGCAAATTATATGTAATTGTGTATTCACATAAAATGAATCTGGATGTTATGGCTTATTCTAGTGATTGCAACCAGGCCCTATGCTGGATCCAACCATATCAGCAACAAATCTCCAGAGGAGAAAGTTCCTCACAGAGGATTGCATCAATTTTTCCTCCCAAGAATGGCTACTGAGAAAAATTCAAATGATTTTACCAGGAAAAGATTCCAAGTGTATAAGAAATGCAAGGATTCACTTTCAAATCCAAACAATGTTGGTGAAGATGAAGATGATTTCTCTGAACTAGGTTCACCAGTCACAGAAACTGGAAATGCAACTTTGGAGCAGATGAAAGACACGAATCGACTGGTAAACTGGTTTCTGTACAATCTGAGATTCGGGTGGTATACACCTTTATTTTTTTCCCATTATACATAGATTGATGCTAGAGGGGTTTGGAGCTGATGAAATGAGAAGCATAGACAGTCAAATTTTCTCTATAATTGGATTGTTGGACCTTCAGCGCATTGGAGATGCTGAAGAAAATATATCATTTATTCTCCGATTATTTTTCGATCTTTTTTGTTTTAATTAACTTGTAGATATTCTTAACTATGTTTCTGAGTGTTTATCTACTTTTTAATCAGAATTTGGAACCTTTAAGGAAGCTATTGGGCGTTGAAAGGATCAGGGCTGCCCCATCGATGAGGCCTTTCCCTGATAAAAAGAACCCTGACATGATGATCCACCTTAAAACAGACAAATTTTTTTCAGATGACCATTTTAGCAGTGGCGCTACAACAAAGAATGAGAGAGAGAAAAATTCCATCATTATTGACAAGGTTCCATCTGCTCTTTGCCCCTTCCATTTGAGAGATGCGGCCTCTGAATATGGTGATATATTGCATGTGCACATGACAACAGGTGAAAATGGGTTTAAGAGCTGCCACATTGACTTTAAGGTCTGTATGGGTCTTTAAGTTTAAATTGAGTCATACCGTTTTCCAGTTATGTTGTTCAGAAATCAAAATACCTGATGTGGGTGAAAATTTTTCAGAGCAAGGAGTCAAAGGAGAGAGCAGTGGCTGCTCGGTGGATCTCTGTGAAGAGCTATCGCTTGCCAATTCAGAGTCTTTCTCTACCAGGAAGCACTGCAGTCAGAATTGAAAACATTAGCAATGAGACTACTGAGGCAGCTATACATTCTCTATGCATGTCTTTTGGACCAGTTGAGAGTCTCTCGAGGGAAAAGAATGGTGCTGTAGATGTTATCTTCAATGTTGAGGATAGTGCACTCATGCCAAATATATTGAAGAAGTAAAGTTCTCGAACCATACAATTCCCATGTCAGTTTCACATAGTCATGTTCAGCATTGATTCCATATTGTAAACTTGATTCTTGTAATTTAAGGAAATTTTCTAAAAGAGAATATTTGCATAAGAAATATCACAAAATACCCAAAATTTTTCTAAAGTTTTAGAAAAATTGGAAACCATTTGAAGTACAAATAGAAAATGCACTTTAAGGAAGGTTTTAATTAGTTTTGTTCCCCTTCTACTTGAGAACCTTTTAATGTATGTAGTATTACATGCGAGTGCTGTTGTGCTATATTGGGATAAAGAAGTTGTTCTTTCGCATATGCAACCACCTGTCTAGTTATGCACCTTCTGGACTTGCATGAGGACTTGAGAACCTTTCAATGTATGTAGTACTACATGCAAGTGCTGTTGTGCTATATTGGGGTAAAGAAGTTATTCTTCCACATAGGCAACCACCTGTCTAATTATGCATATTCACATATGTGACTACTTTACTCAAATTGTTACTTAATTGTCTCTTGCCAGGTTGAATGATGTGGTGATGGATGATTGCCAATGGTCTGCTCAATTGCTCTCTTGGGATTCCCCAAACACAATTAATACGTCTGATGACCAGGGTTCCGTTGGTTCACTAATTAGCAACCACATCCAGGAAATTAGAAAACAATTACAGGAGAAAATGATTGATTTGGAGGACTTAGAGGAACTGCACCTTGCTATAGAACACCTCAGAGATTCTCCTGCCAACCATCAATAGGTCTCCAATACGTTACTTATTGTTTCCTTGAGCTTTATGTTTTTAATTGGAATTATGAGAAGTCAGATTCTTGTTACGTGAGCTTGACCATAAATTATTTACCTGAAAAAATTGCTTGAATTAGTGTAGCTGTTTGCTAATTCTCTATGTTATTCCTGGAAGGCTTGCACAAGTATATGTGGATTCCTTTAATTTCTAATGAGTTTTGATCCAATTTGATTATTGGTATTTGCAGGAATGGTTCATTTGCAATATTTTACTGAGAAAAGACCTCTTCATTATGGGGCACCTATGTGTTGTCGTGCTGAGTATGAAAAAGGATGGAATCATTGTATCTTTAGAGGTGGCCAAATACCATTACAGATTCACTCTTCAGCTCTTCATGCTTATTCAAAGAACAAACACATGATGACAAATAAGCTGGATATGAGGGAACAAAGGTTTCTGGCCATAATAGCTTGGAAATTAACTGATTAAGGGTTGCCCTAATGGTCACTCCCAACTTCTCCTTTGAACTTAAAATTCTGATCATAATCTTATAAACTCAATCCTGCCTTTGCTGGGTTTGGGCAGTTCTTTCTTGTGAAGAAAAGAAACCCTAAGATGGTCCAAAGTCCTGTTCTTTGTTGCAGATCCGATCGAGCAGTTTCTCAGAGTCTTATAGTTGATTGTGACCTCATCAATTTTATCTGGTGGCTCATGAAATGTGGCCATATGCCCTAAAAGATACATGGGTGTTTTGTTATGAGGAATATGGATTATGAGTTATTTGCACAACTGTTGCATTTGACTTGCGTTATAAGGGAAAACTAATGCAGTGGCAGAAAGTTTAGCCAACGTTTGTTTCCATAGGGAGATTGGGGCTGGGTTGGGTTAATGGATGTTCTAACAAAATTGGGGGGTCAATCCCTTTCTTTGGTCCATGCCTTTTTGTTCCAGTTGATGAACTATTAGTCATAGGAAATTTGATCTTTGTCATGCTTCTCTTCAATCTTCGTTCAATATCATTAGCAAAAAAAAAAAAAAAATCGGTCTTAGATGGTCAATATTTTTTTTCCATTTCATTTTTTTCAGTCATAGGAAATTTGATCTTTGCATGCTTCTCTTCAATCTTCGTTCAATATCATTAGCAAAAAAAAAAAAAGAAAATCGGTCTTAGATGGTCAATAATTTTTTCCATTTCATTTTCTTTCAGGGGTGAAGCGTGTTAAGAGGGCTGGACTCCAATTTCTTGTAAACATACACTTGTCCAATGTCATAAATTTTAATTTCTTCTGTGGCATTGCCCATGTTAGCAAGCAAATGCGCCAGTCCGTTTTGAACTTTTATGATGAATCAAATGGCTAAAGAGGAGTTCCTATTAGTGGAAAAGATGTATATGATAAAGAGTGGAAGAGCATCTACCTTCGGTACAGAATGTCCCTATCCGTAATGTGAATTCCATGTGTGCCATTGATGCATTGATCGGGTCCAAATAAATTCTTACATTCGGAGCATCAAGAGTGAAAGTATTCTAATTTGGATTTCACGATTCCATATACAATAAGACTGTTTTCTTTTTGTATAATAGGACCACAATCACCTTTGTTAAAATTCTGAATCCTCTCGAAAAGTATCTGCATTTGGATTAATTGTCAAGATTATGCATAGTCCCACATGTAAATATACGGCTAATAAGTTATTGGTAATGACTAACTAATTTAGTCTTATCAAGAGAGATAACTACATCAACAACCAGATAAATTAAAATTCTTTCTCCATCTCTACATTATCCTTAACTATTTCTATCTCTACACTATTTTCAATTATCTCCATCTCTACAACCTTTAGCTCTTATTTTTTAAACTAGATATTGGGGTGCTCTATTGACTGTATTTCAAGTTCAAAAATATTTTATCAAACTAAAGTTAACATTATCAAAAAGAAAATCAAACTTTGTGACATTCTTAGCTGCCTAATTTATTTTATTTCATGCAACTATGAGTGATTGTGATGTTATGAAGATTAAAACTTTATAAATACAATCCCATATACTATTTAGATCTGGGATTTAAGGCAACTGGGTCTTTAAAGATGTTAAACTATCTCTAATAAATTTTCAAGACAGTGGACTTTAAGTGCTAAATTATAGCTAATAAATTTCCAAAGGCAAAGGACCACTCGAGATTCAAGAGTTACAAATTTTCATCGCGCTACACGGGTACATTGATCTAAGGTTCAGTAGGTTTCACACGTGCGAAAGGACGACCAAAGAAACGTGTTGAATCAGCGTATGATACTTACTGTTATACGGTAGTACATATCGGTGGCGCTTTGCATATATCGTCCTCAAGTTCCTGCGTTTTCTTTCACTCTTCTTTTTCGTCTTGAGAGAGAAGGGAAGAAAACAAGAAGAAGAAAAAAAAGGTGAAAAAATGGCAAAGCTCCAGATCGTTTTAGGGTTAGGGTTTGGGCTTGTTTCTCTATCTCTGCTTCTTGTTGCAGTTTCAGCAGATGTGACGGTCCTCACTGCCGATAATTTCGAGCAAGAGGTCGGCAAAGATCGTGGAGCTCTGGTCGAATTCTATGCCCCTTGGTACTCTCTCTCTCACTCTCGTCCTGCATAAAAATTGACTTCTCTCTCTCTCTCCTTGCATAAAAATTGACGTCTTTTGATGCTTCTGCATAGGAAGTTTCTGATCTGCTGATGATTTTGTTGGGTTTCTCGATTCAGCTTACGCCTTTGGTTGATCTTGCAAATTTCCCTCTTTTGAAGTGATTCTCACTTGGTTGACTGAAACTATGATGCTTTTGATCTGAACTGTGTTGCTTCGGGGTTTCTGGGGTTGTGTACTATGTAGTTTAATTGTTTTATCTTGTGATTGCATTTATGTTAGTATAGTTCCTCTAAAATTGTTGCCTCCTTTTTTAAGGAACTTTACATTACGTTACCTATCAAAATATTTAAATGGCAGGGTTCACAATTATATTTAAATGGCAGGGCTCACAATTATCTTATTTAACTTTATTTTATGGAATTAATGGCGGTCTTTATTAGTGGATTATCTATCTCAGCTATTCGAAATCTGATTTTTGCTTTCGATTGTCTGATCTTCTGATTGGAGAATGCTTCTCATTCTGGCCCATCTTTTTCTTCTTCTTCTTCTTTGGTTCATTTAACCACTATGGTTGATCCGAACAGTATTTTCTTTACTCTATATTATTGATTTGGATTTTTCCCAGCTTTCTATCTTTCAAATAGATTTGGATTCAATTTGATGATTTGCATCTATTATTGATAGAGAAATACCTTATGTGCACTCATGATGCAAACTGATCTTTTTATCCAGTCACAAGTAGGCAAGATTTTCTAGTGTAAGCTGGCAATAAATTAGGTGATTACCTGCTAGCCATCTGATCATATTGAGAGAGGCCTCCTTTACTGCTCTGTTTTTGGGAAGCCATATCAGTTTTACTTGTCTTGTTCATGCAACCAACATATTGGGCATACACTCGTGCAATTTACACATGCTGACATACATGTGGTTGCCACAAACATTGTTGCATGACTTCGGTTCTCATTCTTTTAATGCATTGACTATTCATGTTTGAGTTTGCAGTGCCTGTAATGTGTAAATCGCACAACTATAGCGTAGTTCTAATCATATCGACCTCCTTTTGTATTTGCTTGCACATGTTAACCCATGAGGTGGTCAGCAGTCTTGTATACATTAACAGTACTGCGCTTTTTTGGGCATTATATTAGTGGAAGCCATATCAGTTCTACTTGTCTTGTGCATGCAACCAACATTTTGGGTGCGCACGTGTAAATCTACACATTCTGGCATACATGAGGTTGCCACAAACATTGTTGTATGAGCTCAGTTCTCATTCTTTTAACGCATTGACTATTCGTGTTTGAGTTTGCAGTGTCAGTGATGTGTAAATTGCACAACTATAGCCTAGTTCTAATCATATTCCTCCTTTTGTTTTTTCTTGTCAGAAGTCTTGTATACATTCATAGACATTTTCTCATTCGTATCCTTGTCAGGAAGCTTGCTGCTTGTGAGTTTGTGGTGATGCCATCTTGAATGTATGTGGTCATGTGACTTGTGCATTTTTTAGGCAAGCATGGGTGCCCACTTGTGTTTGGTTTCTTTTGGATAGGTCAGTGTATCTGTGTTTACATATCTAAGGTTTGTACATACTTTTGTGCATTTAAGTTGTAATTTTGATTGTCCTACTGCACAAGTCTTGGAGAAATTCACTATGAGCGTAGGTTAGTGTATGAAATTGTTGTATGTAAGTGTAACTAGTCATCGTTATGATACCCAACTGTCACATAGATTAACCATATGCATGTGTGTGTTCCAAATTGTATGACTGGTTAATTCTCGAAAATGAAAAAGTGACAGTGGTTGCCACATGATCATTTAGTTTTTGCATGTACAGTAGCCTACTCTTAGAATATTTGAATCCTCACTTTTGCTGGAAGGCCGTACGAGGTTTTTCCTCTTCATTCTTGTTTGCATCCTTAAGAGCTTTCGTTATGTGTGCTTACTTTCATTTTGATAAATCTATTATGTACTACTATCATTGTCACAAAGATAAAAGAATTATTTGTTGCCACTAAATGCATAATAAACCTATATTTAATAGCAGTAATATGATGCGATTGGTGATGAATTCTGCTATTGCTTTCTTGGCAGGTGTGGGCATTGTAAAAAGCTTGCACCAGAATATGAGAAACTTGGGACAAGCTTTAAGAAGGCCAAATCCATATTAATTGGAAAGGTTAGCTATCTTTTATTCTACACTAATAATGATCAACTTTTGTAAGTGATTGTGTTCTTGCTTACTAAGGCATTTATTTTTCCCATTTATTTATTTTTGTCTTTAATATCAATAATTCATCATCTTCATCAAAGCCTTTTCCCAACTATTTGGGATCGGCTATCATGGAAAGTTTTGGCAAAGTTTTACGTTGGCTTCCTACCCAACACAACCCTCCTTCTTTACCCAGGCTTTGGGATGGGTTAAGGGAAAGTTTAAGGTCCTCAACTTTCTTAGACCTGAATATTTCAGTGTATAAAAAGGGAAGATGAAAGTAAAAGGAACTGTTTCAAAGTACATATCAAAAGACTTTAGTACTGCAGGAAACTGTGTGAGAGAGAGAGAGAGAGAGAGAGAGAGAGAGAGAGAGTAGTTAGTTA